ACATAAATCAGATGTTAAAAGAGTTGAAAAGCCGAATAGATGACTCCACACTCATAGTGGGAGACTAATACACCACTTTCTTTGAAAGATAGAACAACTGGAAAGAAACTCAAAAAAAAAAAAAAAAAGATTGCATTTTATCTGCAGATTGCTTTGGGTAGTATTGACATTTTCCTGGTGTTAAGTCTTGCTATCAATCAGCAGGGTATATCCTTCCATTTATGTATATTTCATTTGGTTTCTTGTAGTAGCATTTTGTAATTTTTTGTATAGGCCTTTTGTATCTCTGGTTAGATTTATTCCTAAGTACTTCGTCTTTTGGGTGGTTATTGTAAATGGTATGTTTTCTTAATTTCCTTTTCAGAGTTCTCCTCATTAGTATAAAGGAATTCAACTGATTTTTGTATATTGATCTTGTACCCTGTCACTTTGCTGAATCCTTTAATAAGTTCTGTAATTTTCTTTCTGAGTCTTTGGGATTTTGTATGTATAGGATGATGTTGTCTGCAAATATAGTTTGACTTCTTCTTTACCAATTCTTTAAGTGCATTTTATTTCCCTCTCTTGCCTTATTGCTCTAGCTAGGATTTCCAATATGATATTGAACAAGAATGGGGATAAAGGGCATCCTTGTCTGGTACAGGTTCACAGGGGGAATGTTTTCAGTCTCTCTCTGTTGACACAAATGTCCGTTGATTTTACATATGTGCCCTTAACTATGCTGAGAAATTTCCCTTTTATTCGTATCTTTTTGCACTTTTATCAGGAATGGATGTTAGATGTCTTTTCTGCATTCATTGACATAATCATGTGGTTCTTTTCCTTTGTTTTGTTTTATGTAGTGCATTATGTTGATTGGGTTTCTAATGTTGAACCATCTCTGCATATCTGGTTTGACTCCCACTTAGTCATGATGTACTATTTTTTAATGTTATTTGATTTTATAGGCTAAGAGTTTGTTGAGAATTTTTGTGGCTGTTCATGAGGGATTTGGTCTATAATTTTCTTTTTAGTGGTATCTTTGCCTGGCTTTGGTATCAGGGTTATACAAACTTCATAAAACGAACTTGGAAGTATTCCCTTCTTTTTTATATTCTGGAATAGTTTGAGTAGTGCTAAAACGGCAAGGAGGCCACATGTTCAGGCCTCCTCTAACCCTACAAGAGGAAGACAGGATTACCAGCAGTAACCCAAGGCCTATTCCTGCCAGGCCAGACATGCTGCTTCCCTCCAGCCCTTTCTCCAACCGTTCCTCTTAAAGCACCCACTACCTCTCTCCTGGGTTCAATAATTTGCTGCAGTGGCCACACAGAGCTCACAGATTATGAGGTTTATTAGGGAAGCACCACAGGCTACAATTCAATTTCAGGAAAAGAAATGCTCAGCCATCAGTCTCTCACAGTCTCTTTCCCAGCAGTGCTGGTTCCTCGGTGTGTCACTCAGCAATGCGTGTCTCTTGTGTCTCTTTCCCAGCAGCACGTGTCTCTTGCAGCAGCACATCTTCCTCAACCAGCAGTCAGAGAGAGTTCTGCCTCTAGGTGGCCTCATTTTGAGCCCGGTAGGGTGGTGAAACTAGCCAATCACAGCATCAGAACTCTAAGCACCTGAGAGAGAGTGGGAACCTCCCAGAACATTGTATTGTGCCACGCCCAACAGAAATACTCCAGGTGGACTACTTCACCAATCAGGAGCTCCTCAGTTGCTCATAGAAAATCCCACCTTGGAGTTTATAAAGACTTATGGGTAGAAAAGCCACACTAAGTAATTTACTATACCACAAGTAGAATTGATGTTACCTCCTCTGTGAATGTTTGATAGAATTTGCCAAGGAAGCCATCTGGGCCAGGACTTTTTTTGTCGGGAGGTTTTCTATGACTTGTTCAATTTCTTCTTTTGTGATGAGTCTGTTCATATTTTCTACCTCAGTCTGTGTTAATTCAGGTAGATAGTGTGTTTCTAGAAATTTGTCCATTTCTTCTAGTTTTTTTAATTTGTTAAAGTACAGTTGTTCATAGTATTCTACTTTCATTTTAATTTCAGTTGGTTCCGTTGTGATGTTGCCCATTTCATTTCTTACTCATGTTATTTGCATCTTCTCCTTTCCATTGGTAAATTTGCCAGCGGTTTGTCAATTTTATTAATCCTTTCAAAGAATTCAACATCTAGTTTTACTGAGTCTATCTATTGCTTTTCTATTTTCTCTTTCATATATTTCTGCTCCAATCTTTATTATTTCTTTTCTTCTGATAACTGTGGGCTTATTTTGCTGCTCCCTTTCTAATTTTTGGAGATGTTGGGTTTGCTTTTCTCTTCTTTATTGATGTGTGCACTTATTGCTATAAATTACCCTCTGAGCACTGCTTTTGCTGTCCCGAAGATTTTGTGTTTTCATTCTTATTTGATTCAAGGATTTTTTATTATTATAATTATTTCTTGTATTAATTAGTAGTTTTAAAACAGGATGTTACTCAGTTTCCATATGTTTTTTTTCCCTTGATCTTTCTATTATTGATTTTTAATTTTATTGTGCTGTAATCTGAAAAGATGCTTTGCAGTATTTCAATGTTTTTAATTTTATTGAGGCTTACTTTGTGGCCTAACATATGGTCTGTTCTGGAGAATGTTCCGTGTGCATTGGAAAAGTATTGTGCTGTGTTGGGTGGAGTTCCATCTATGTCCTGTATGTATCTAGGGGGTCAAGTTGGTTGATTGTGTTGTTTAATTCTTCTATGTCTTTGTTGAGTTTCTTTCTAGTTGTTCTGTCTATCATTGAAAGTAGTGTATTAAAGTCTCCTACTACTAAAAAAAAAAAAAAGTATCTGAACTGCTGTATGGAAGATGAATTTGCCCTGAAAATTTTCACCCAAATCACAATAAAATTTAAAATTTAAAAAAAAAAAAAAAAAAGACCAACTTATTAGTCTGATAGAGCCTGGAGACCCCTGAGACTATAGCCCCTAGTTACCTTTCAGGTCTGAACTGAACTCACTCCTGTGGCTTCCAGCCAAACAACAGACAGGCATATGGGGTGAACATTTACATCAGGCAGATACACTCCTTGGAGCACTCAATTGTGGGAGAACAGAAGGGCAGTGTTTGCATAGGGATAGTTTGGAAGATGGGAGTACATGGGGAGGATACAGGGAAGAGGTAACTACAGGAGAGGAAGTGGGAAGAGAGCTGTTACATTATGGAGAACTGCAGTCAATGTCATGAAATAAAATGTGTGTGAAATGCTGTATGGAAAATAAATTTGCTCTGTAAACCCTCACTCAAATCACAATAAAAATTAAAAAAAAAAAAAGAGAGAGAGAGAAGAGATGTGTGCTGTCATCTGAATCCTTATACCTGTGGCTGTAATCCCATGGTGTTGGGTTTCTTTGTTACGTTAATGGAAAGGACAGCGCAGGGTAGGTCAGAGCCCACCCCTTCCCAGGTATAACAAGGGCAGACTGAGCAAGAGAAAGGAGCAGAGATGGAGGGAAGGGACGCCAACCACACAAAGACCAAGGAGCCGAGGAACAGAAGCTGAATGCAAGTTGATGGAGAGGGCCTATCCCTTGAGCCAAAGCCCTAAACTCAGACTTCCAGTCTCCTGAAAACACAAAAACCAAACTCACTGCCGTTGATCCAACTCACAGCGACCCCTACTTGATTTTCTGAAGCAGTATCTCTACAAAAGTAGATTGCCCAGTCTTCTTTCCAAGCAGTGGCTGGTGGATTTGAACTGCCAGCCTTCTGGTTAGTAGTCAGATGCCTTAGGCACCACACAACCAAACCCCCTTTCAGCCTCCTAGGAGCTCTGGTAGCATAGTGCCTAAGGCACTTGACTGCTAACCAGAAGGCTGGTGGTTCAAACCCACCAGCCACTCCTCAGAAGGATGGTTGGGCAATCTACTTCCATAGTGATACCGCCTCGGAAACCCAAGGAGGAGTTGCTATGCGTCAGTCCAACTCAACAGCAAAAACAACCACCACCACAAGCCGTGAGAAAGTAACTGTTTGTTGAAGCCCCCACTTGTGGTATCTCTGCTGCAGCAGCTCTAGACATCTAAGGGACTTACGTAAACACAAGACGTTGCCCGGTTCTGCACCAGCCTCCCAATCGTGGCTACATCTAAGTCCACTGTGGCATCCACTGTGTCAATCTATCTCGTTAAGGGTGTTCCCCTCCTGTGCTGACACGCTCTACCAGGCATGATGTCCTTCTCTGGAGATCAGTCCCTCCTGATGATACGTCCAAAGCTAGACAGTTTTGCCACCCTCACCTCTAAAACCTTCATAATTCCCCCGTTTTAATTCCTGATACAGTGACTACCAGGAGATAAACCCCAGCAAGGTCAGGAATTTTAAGAACAGAGGGAGAGCATGAAACCGGAGGCCTGAGAGGTGTTGTGCTAAGCAGACACCAAGCCTGTATACAAGCCCTGTCCACACATGGACATTGGACACACCCATGGTGGTCAGAGCTCCGGCTTGGGAACTGCTGTGATGTGTGAAGGAAACAAGGGAAGCTGAAACTATTCATGCCCCAGTGACTCCAACTCCAAGGAAATGATTCAGAAGAAGACAACCAGAGGTCTGAAGACATCTACTGCCACACAGCTTCATCCAGCAAAGTAAAACACCTGCAGCAACTGAAGCAGAAGTTCCCACCAACAAGTGCTGTGACAGGGCACACAGGAGCCTCTTGTCAGCTACTAACAAAGACCAGGAGAAGACGCAGAAGATTCAGACTGCCCATGAAAGGCTCTTCCTGTCCCACAATCACCACTGTGAAAACACACCCAAAGACAAACAGTGGAAAGGGGTCCATGGAACAGCCAGCCCGGATAGCAACAGACCAGCAGACAGTACACAATACCTTAAGGTCACTTGATTGTATAAGGCAGAGGGCAAATCAACACCACCAGGAACAACCGGCTGGGAAAGGGCTAAAGGCCTTCAGAAAGTGCCAGAGTGCCAGATGACAGCCCGTCTCCGATGTGCCAAGAACTCACCAGAGGCTCCCAGGCCCGCTTCAGGCTCCAGGTAGAGTTGACGCTGCTGTGCAGCCCTGGTCTGCTCCTCCAGCACCTGGTCTATGACGCCCAGTCCAGAAGCCAAGTCATGGGGGGTCAGGTCGAAGGACGCCGACTCCTCACACATCTTTTCCTAAGAGCCCACAGACACCCTCGTCACGACACAGACAGGCAGAGACTCAGAGGCGGTAGAGAAAGCTGAGAGCCGTCCATCCCCAGAGCCATGCCAACAGCCTCAAAAGTCAGGGGCCCTCACTGACCATAGTGGGCCCTGCTTGCCCAAAGATGTGCATGGTCAGGCCCACACCAATGTTTACAAATGACTTGAGTTGCTAACATTTCATAATTGGAAACTTCCATTAAAACCTACATTTCTGGCCTCTCTCAAAAACCAGAAGACCTGACTGCAAGACGCACTGTCTTTCAGGGCAATGCAGGCTGCAGCAGCCCCCACAGACAGCTGGCCCTGCAGCAGGGAGCCCTGCGGCCCCCAGGGCCTTCCTCCATGCCTCCCACTCATGGGAGCTGGGGGTGTGGAGGATGTGCTGGTAAGGAAGGTGACCTTCCCCAAGCCTATCATGGCCCAGGGCAGGGTGGCCGGGCATCTAGAAGCTGCCTTTGTCAGTGTGGCCACCAGAGGGCAGACCAGAGACAGGTCCCTGTTGGAGCTGCAGCAGGGATGTCGGGCCCTAGGACAGGATGGGGGCCAGCTGAGATCCACCAGCCAGAAGGCAAGGTGTATGTGCGGTAGCTTCCGTGTAAAAATAGGGCCAGCACGTGGACCTCTGGGCCAGGAGGAAGCAGCCGTGGGATGAAGACTGTGTCTTGCAAGAAGGTAGGCAGCAGTGGTGCCCAGGTCCCCACATCCCCACAGCCCAGGGCTCACCCTCACAGAGAAATCAAAGAGGAGGAGGGGCCAGACTCACCACATTGTGAGCTTCATCAAAGATCACCACTGTCCCCTTCAAGTCAATGCTGTGCGCCCTTCGACTCTGCACGGAGAGCAATGGGGGCCAGAGCTCAGCAAATGGAGGCACCGTCTGCCCACCACCCGGTGTCTAGGTCTTTCCAAGGCAGCCACACAGATGGCTGCGATCTGCACTCCCGGGCCTGGCTGTTCGGCTCTGCCAGCCAGCAGGACTATGAGACCACATCATGGGCCCTGGGCACCAGAGCTAGCCCTTCCTTCTGGGATACTCCTGCAGCATCCACAGATCTCTAACTCCCAGAGTTCAGGCTCTGTGTTTCAGCCAGGCCCGACTGGTTGCCTGTTTCCCTTGTGATTAGTGCCTGGAGGGTCTGTGCCCCAACTCCAGCTGCAATGTTGTCCCCCACGTTTCCACCAGGAACCGACAATTCCTGCTGTCCCAGTGCATGGGCACCGCTTCCATCATGCCAGACGCACCCTCAGAGTGTCCTCAACCCCATTCTCCTCCATCGACTGGTGTCTGCTTCTTCATCACTACCCAGTGCCCTGCACACTCCGAGGGCTCTGAGCTCGCCCAACTGCAGCCCAGCTTTTCACACCTGGGTGCCAGCTCTGGGGCCTGCTCAGCCCAAGCCAGAAGATGCCCCAGAGGCCTCAAAGCCCAGGGACAGCCCAGAGAGAAGAACCACTCATACACAGACAGAACACTCACCTTCGGGTCCAACAAGTAATTGTAGGGCATAAAGATGATATCGGCCTGTTGCTTCAGGTTCCGGGAAAGGTAGTATGGGCAAACCCTGGGGGACAGGGCACAGGGCCGGGAGGTGTTAGGGCCACACACGGGAAGCAGGAGGGAGCCTGAGGACTCATCGCCACAGGCCGTGGGGCAGCACCGCCTGCAGCTGCCCCAGTGAGGCCTGGCCACCCACCCACTGTTAAAAGGCCACCCTGCGACCATGGGCCTGGGTGCTGAGGGATGGATGAGTGTTGCCCGTTTCTGAAATCTACAAAAATTAAATCCCCAGCCCACACGTATATATTAAGGAGGTAACAGGGAGAAAAAAGGCGCCAGAAAAAACACAACACTTTCTCCTCTTGAGGTGAGAAAGTCTCATCACCCGAAGGCCCTCAAAAAGGAGAAAAGGTCACCACCTTGATCTTCAGAGAGTGAGGCCAAGCTATTATTGGAAGGCCCAAACTTCCTTCCAAGGAGTGGGTGGTGGGTTTGAACCTCCAGCCTTCTGGTTAGCAATCAAATGCCTTAGGACACCACACCACCAGAGCCTCCTTTAAAAACAAAGGGAAACCCCCACCCTCACCCCCAGAGGCTCAGCACATGCAGGAGAAAATCCACCATGAAGGGGAACGACCCAAGTCCAGGCAGCCCACGTGGCCCAGATGTGGCGGGTGGGAAGGGGCAGGCCTCTGAGCACAGGGATGTCCGTACTTGTGTCTGCTCCCACTCCTGACCAGGTCCTCAATGTCCAGGATGGGGGTGACCAGCTCTTGTTCCATACTCTTCTCTAGGGAAATAGGGTTAAGAAGCAACACACACTCAAGGTTCCCTGCGGGGCTCCTCACACCCCAAGGAGATGCCTATGAGTCAACACATCCCAGGGGTCCACTGTGAGGGCTCCCCACACCCATGGTGCCCAGGACAGAGGGGCTCCTGGTGGCAAGCCCTTTCCTCCAGACAGGAGCAGCCCACGCAGCCAACCATGGACTAAGGCCAGAGGAAGAGGACCATCCTGGGGTGTGGGCCCTGGGAGCCCCAGGACAGACACCCACGACTGCAGCCAATGTCCATAACAAGCAGTGACTCAGCCCCCTGGGGCCAGGGTATTCTCTTCCCAGAGCCATCAGAGCCATCAGTACCCTTCCACCAAGACACCCAGCTCAGGGGGAGGTGGCCCTGAGCCTGTCACTACCACCTTCAGATACCCAGGTGGTGAGCCACACGCCCACTTGCTGTCAGGACCTCAGCAGCCACAGCCACCTCTCCTCTAGCAGACGTCTCTCCCCCATTCCCTCTTCTCTCAGCTTCCCCAACTAAAACACACCCCAGACTCTTCCAAAGCCAAGCCTGCTCAGCCGTGGCCACCTAGACCGGGGCCAGGACTTTCACTGCCTGTCACCAGGAGGAGGGGGCTGTCCTGACCCGAGTTTCAATTCTGAACAGTTATCTCCTAATTTAGAGAAAGAGAGAAGCCAAGAGCCCCCAGAGCCACTGGAGGCCACAGGAACGCCCTGGGGGGCTGCTAAGACACAGCAACTCCAGGTGCCAGGCCTGGCAGGCAGGACAAGTCTGCAGGGAGGTGGGGGGCAGCCGCACTGGGGTCCAGGGGCAGGGCTGAGGCCGGGCTGCATTCCTGACTGCCTGCAGTGCAGTGCAGGGCGAGGCTACCAGGAAGAAGGCGGGAGGGGAGGGGCTTCTTCGGCAGTACCCTAGCAACCGCAGGCCAATCGCAAGCTCTGCCACAGAGCCTGGAGCACCCTGCACCTAGCTGCGGAGGGCTGAGGAGTGGGGAGGGAGGCAAGGGCGGACAGTGTGGGGAAGGGGTGATGAGGAGGAGTAGAATGACGGAGCGGGGTGAGAAGAGGTGCTGGGAGACCCCAGGCCTGGAGCTGTGACCTGCCACAGGCCCTTGCCTGCAAGTTCCACCTCCCAGGCCTCCATACCCCTCACCCCTCCGGGCCCAATCAAGCAGGTTCTAACACCTTCTCTCTCAAGGATAGGGCTCCTCCCTCTGCACCCCACCACTTTCTGCCACTGGGAGAGGAGGCTGTGGAGACACAGCAGGCCTCAGGGGTGGGGGAGCCCCAGAATTCCGCTGGCTGGGCAGGAAAGGAACCAGAGCCTAGTGGGTGGTCTGCAGCCTGGGGAGGGGCAGTGACAGGCTCTGGAGCCCAGGTGATTGCCTTCAGTCCCTCTCTAACCAGCACCTGTAGCCCTTCCTCCTGGCCTGATCCTCTCCCCAGGATCACTGCAAGCAAGAGATGCGGTGGCTCAAGGCACCCTGGACCTTTCACCAACAGGGTCCTCTCCCACAGCCCCCTCTGCTGGGAGCATGGAGAACTGCAGCCCTGGTCCCCCTCCATCACACAAGTGGACGTCTGAGGCTGGGCAAGTGTCTGGCAAAGGTGAGAGGGAGGGTGGGGCCCAGACCACACGTCCAACGTGGGTGAAGGGGCAGAGCAGCTCCAGGCTGGCCACTGGGGAAGGTCCAACAGTGCCCCTCCCCACCACAGGGCCCCTGCCACAAGGCCACAGGACCCGTTGGCTGCCCTGGAACAAGGCTTGCTCCCGGCTGATGACAACCCGGTGGCCTGGACTAACAGAGACAGGGCATCGAACGCAGTGCAGAACATGCCACCGTGGACCGTGGAGCACTACAGCCCCGGGCCCCCTGCCACAACCAGGGAGGCCTGGACGAGCCAGCTGTGAGGCAGTGCTGCGCAGTCTGCCCCGACAGGCCTGCTGTAGGGGCACCTCTGCACAGCTCCCAGGGGCAAGTGCCAGCAGGGCAGCAAGGCCGTGAGCCCGGGCCACCAGCCGAGTGAGCCACTCCAACCCGCCCCCTTACCTTCTACGTTGTTGTAGAAGTGGCAGGAGCGACTCGCCACCTTCCTGCGGCACAGATGGATCTACAAGGGAAGGATTCGAGTCCCAGGGGAATCCGTGGCTGGGAAAGGGCTGGGGGTTGGGCCACTGTAGCCCACCATGTAGAGATCACCCCGTTAATCCTAACCCAACCCAAAAGGCACCATGGGGGATGACACCGCTGAAGCCCACCTGCATGTGGTTACTCTCCTGCTGCTTCACCTCAGGGTGAATGCAGAGCTGCTCCCGGGAGCCCAGGACACACACCCGGGGCCTGCGGGGAGAAAGAACCGTGGCAAGAAGGGTGGCTGCTTCCAAGCACCGGCTGCCAGGCTTCCAGTGTGGACACACTGTGGGTTGTGTGGGGCTCCAGGGAGCACATGGGGAGTTGGACTCTTACGGATGGATGGTGCATATTGGGCAGCCAAGGGAAGGGTGTGACTGCGGAGTGGGGTTTCTCTGCTGCGGGGGCCACTGAATCTCCGCCATGGTAGGCAAGGGGACAGGCAGGGAAACAGAGCACATGGGACAAGAGTCCAGAGCTTCTAAGAGTCCCTAGGCTGCAACTCCAGGGGGTGGGCAGGCACCAGGCTTCTTCCCACCTCCATATCCACAGCTCCCCCAGATGCCCTAAGGGTTCAGAGGCCAGGCCAGACCCAGATCGCAGCAGACACAGCGGCACCCTCAAAGAATGCAATGCACCAGGGAAGGATACAAACCCAACATGAGCTTATAAAACTAAAGCTGCTTCCTTTTAAGGAAGGTGTGGAAGACACCTGATCCTCCCCCAGCCTGACATCAGAACACTGCTCCCCCAGGGCTGACCCAGGATGATGAAGTCCACCACCCACGCAGCACTTGCTACAGGCACTTGGCACTGTGCTGGTCATTATCCCCACCACCCAGGAGCAGGCGCGGGTGGCCGATGGACCCACCGGTAGGAAGTATTCCGAAGCTCGCCAATGACCTGCGTGAGCTGTGAGTGGGTCCTGGAGGCGTAAATGATCTTCGGGATGTCCATGTAGCAAGCTGCCCAGGCGGGGAGACCCCAAAGTGCCATCAGTCACCCTGTGGCCTCGTGCCCAAGACAGCATTCCTGTGTTTGCTGTATGCAAGTGGTTATCAACCACTGAGACGTTGACCTCCACACCCACCCACTGAGACGCTGATCTCCAGACACTTACTGACCAACCCACAGAGATGCTAACCCCCAGACACCTGCTGACAGACCCACCGAGATGCTGACCCCCAGATGCCCACCCTCTGAGACACTGACCCCAGACACACACTGAAGGACACCAGACAGGTGGTCGTCCTCACTGCCCTTCAGTGACACCAGGGTCAGAGAAATGCAAGACGCCCTGCTCAAGGGGCTACTGACACCCAGGTGGATTCCACCTGCCCACCATGAGGCTGGAGAGGGCCAGGAAGGAACATCACCTGGGATGTCTCCAGAGCTGGTACTGCTCCCCCAGGGCAAGGCCTGGTCAGGGAACTGCTCCCCATGCACCCTCTCAGCGATCTTGCAGGCAGAGATGCCATCTCGAAGGTGCTCACGCCAGGCCAGCGTGGTGCAGAGGAGGCATAGCGTCTTCCCTGTGCCTGTCGGACTCTCCAGGATGCCATTCACTTTCTGAGTGGGGAAGGGAGGAGGCTCTCAGGGAAGCAGAGGGCAGGTCAAAGAGTCCTGCAGGACACGCCACATTCTGACCAGACAGCTCTGCTCAGATGCAGAGCCCACCTGGGCCAGTCCCGTGGGATTGTGGGTAAATTAATTCAGCCCTTGTTAGCAAACAATTTGCAAAGCGCTTCCCAAATGCGACAGTGTTCCTCAGCCTGATATAAATACTAAGATGAGTAATGAGGTGCCAAGTCTCAGAATAAGTCAGTGTTCTGCGGCTCTGGATTCCGGCGTTGACGTGGTCCCAGCTGAGAGGAACCGATGGCCTATATATGGCTCTCAAGGAGAGCCTGAGCGGGAAGCTTGGGAGGTCCCAGGCAAATTCTGCACAAGCGCACCTACCCCCCACCAGCCACAGGTACAGGGCTCCAGCCTCCTTGATACAGGAGCCCATTGGTCACAGCATGAGAGATCTGTAGAGCCAAGCAGCAACAAGACACAGAGGCCCTGTATGGAGCACACCTGCCCCTTGCCCATCCCCACACACACTGAGGTTTAAAGCTTTCCACTTGAGGTCAGAGCCCTGGCTGTCCTCTTCTGCATGGAAACTTCTTTCCTCCAGATCCTTCCATAGCACCCACTACTCATCAGTAGGTCTCAGCTTGAATGTACCCCTTGAGGAAGCCCAAGTCCCTTCCCATCTCCTTTACCTCAAGCATTCATCACCATCAGAAATCACCATCGATCGCTACATCCTACCCAGCTGGGATGTAATTCTGATTTGCAACTGACTCCCAGTGTCCAGATCATCCCCCCCCCACCCCCCGCACTCGGCTGGTCTGGATGCACGGAGGCAGGATGCCCTAGGACCTTGCAGATAACGGCCCAACGTGGGCCCATCCCCCTCATACACGTCCATCAGGGCCTGCATCTTTACCTTCTGCAGACACTCCAGGACCTTGGCCATGTACTCCTGCTGACATCTGTATGGCTGGAACGGGAAATCCACCGACACACCATTCACGGTGATCTTGGGCATGCCGGTGGTCTTCAGGAGGGCACAGAGGTGAGCTGAAAGGCAGGCTGTCGGTATCTAGAGACAAAACCCCATCAGCATGTCAGGTCTCAGCCACTCCAGACAAGCAATCCTGGATGGAGCAGGGGTACAACGTCCTTCTCCACGAAAGCCCCCAGGGCACAGACGCAGATGTCCATCAACAGACCACTTGGGCAGCCATCTCAGGAAAGAAGGTCTGAAGGCAGGCTCATTATAGGGCGCTCAGAGAGGCGCCGGGTGTTGGCCCTGCATTGCTCTCCGACCACATAATTGTCTCCTACCCAAGCAGAGGCGCCAGGCTCCTGAAGTCCTATGCCTGAGAGACGTACAATTCCATATGCACCAATAACCCACCACTCCCACATGAGTGCCAGGCCAAGGCCCTAGGGTGTCGCCACCTCCTGCCTCCAGCCCCTGGCCCTCACCTCCTTAGGTCGTCTGGGACCATTCCCCATCCCTCCCACCAGGCAACCGGGCGTAGAGAAAAAGCACGCGTGGCTACGACCTGGGTTCAAATCTCTGGAACCCTGGGGAAGTCCCTCAACTTCTCTACACCTCAGGAAATTGGAACAAACAGACCAGACACTAAACATTGAGTAACGATCACCCCTCCCCGGCCCTGGCCACACAGAAACGCGGCGCCCATCGCAAGGACTACGGGTCCCAGGACGCAGCGCGGCCCAAACGCCGCGGCGGCGGCGAGGGGCTGCCGGGAGATGCATTTCGGAAACCGTGAGCCACCCACGAGCTGCTTGGCTGAAAACCCAGGCCCAGGGTTCCCACGGGGAGGCTCCAGGGTCAGGGGCCCCAAGAACCCACCGACTCCGGGCGGAGCGCGCCACCCCGCCCTCTGCTGTCAGCTTGTTCAGACTTCGCGGGTTCGGCCGCGCCGCCGCAGAGCGCTGCACTTCCGGACCCACTTCCGGCCCGCGGCGTGGCGCTCCTGGTGGAAACCGCTCCCCGCTTGGAGAGGTCCGCCTCTCTCTCTCTCCGCGGCGCGCCTCATCCAGGTCAGTGTGTGCCTCTTCCGCGAGTCTGAGCTCCGGGGCGTCACCTTCCTTGCGCATGGGCAGATGTGGAGTCCTATCTGTTTTCCCCCTCGATGTCGTGCCTTACCGGGGCTTCCATCCAACGACCACCTCCCTAAGGCCGGGCGCCGCGTTGCCAGTCGACTGCTCAAATCTACCGGGCTCTCTTGGTCTCCTGTCCTCTTATAGCACCCACAGGCGCCTTTGCAAGGCTCGAGTCTGATCCAGCCATTCTTGTTGCGACGCAAAGATGGCCGTTTGGTGCCCCTGACCGGGCTCCCTAACGCCTCACCAGCTCTTGTGCTGACCCTCCCCTCAGCCACCACATTTCTGGTCAGCGACCTGAATGGTTCCAGTGGCCCCTCTGAGTTCCCAAGAGGGACCCCCAGCCAAGAGGAGACGCACGGTTCTGAGGATGTTCAGCTCTGGCAACCCCAGATGTCCCCAAAGGCACCTGGGGAAAAGAGCGCTGTGGGGAGGCCCATAGCTTGCAGAGACAGAAGGGACTCAGAGCTCTGGGGGGTGCCATGCTAGGTCCTGAGGTCTTCCACCTTTAAGCCATGTGTCCATGCTGAGCTGACAGTGGCTTGGGGGATGTTCCCCCTCCACACACACACAAACAGACACACACAAGTGCATTCCCCGTATGCCACTCTCCATGAATGGACTGCAGGGTGTGTATCACAGAATCTCAGAGAGAGCTTGGAGAAGACAGTGGCCCCTGGCCAACACTGCTCACCGGGCATTGATTTCAGCACCTCCAAGATCAGTCCCTCCTTTGCACCTTACATTGAGGAGATGGTGCACAGAGCCTACAGTAGACTGCCCAGAGCCAGTGGCTAGCAAGCAGTGGACCTGGGAAACCAGCCCTTCACTGCTGTCCCCTCTCTCCTGAGAGCAGGTGTTTTCATGCCCCCAGAAGCCCAAGAAAAGAAAGGCTGCAACCCAGAGACTTGGGACCTCCTGGGCTGCAGGAGGTGAGGCCCAAGACCCCAAATAGGTAGTTGCTGAGCCGACAAGTCCCACAGGGAGGCCCTCCGGCCCCACTGCATTTATGGGGATGTAGCACACAAACACCATCTTACTGACCTAAGCCGAGAGGTGAGGGCAAAGGAAACCCAGGCTGACCCAGCAGGTCACAGGGATTCCCACGTGCGGTGCAGGGAATTACTTGGCAAGGCTCTAGTCTGTAACTTTCACACGTGACTGGGTGGAATTATATAAACATGAGTTGCTTTGGCTTACCCAGGGGACTGCATAGCTTGTTACTAACATACGTGAAGGTATATGGCACTCTGGTCAGGATGGAACCATGGAAATAAATGTGGTGATTGATCAGTTTTGCCACTCGGCTTGCAATGAGCCCTCCCAGAAGCAGAAAAGGGGTGTGGTAGTTAAGTTTGTGTGTCAACTTGGCTGGGCCTGGCTGAGTGGCTGGGCAGCTGGATGTAGTATTCCCCATGATGAGACTGGTAATCAACTCTATGGTGGAATCTACCATGAGCAGCTGAGTAGCTGCTTTAAGGATGTGGTCTGCTTCCTGTATATAAGGAGAAGCCTTGGGGAATGGTCTCTAGCTTATGGCATGCTTGAACCCTGCATGTAGCCATGTCGTTGTTCAGCAGCCTGCCATGCTCTGCTGACCTTGGGACTTTCGATGGACTTGAGTTAATGGCCTGCCATGTGGTTTGGTAGCATCAGGACTGTGCCTCTTTACTCGTCAACCTTGGGCTTGTCAGCTGAGTGAAGAAAAGCCTCCAGCTTCAGTGGGCTGGGAGCAGGAGGCAGAGCTGAAGCCCAAGGTTGAGGGTCTTTCACCCAACCCCTAGAGCCTGGCACTTTGAACTCGGACTTAAAGCCTCCAAATGTAAGAGAATAAACTCCTGTTTCTTCAAGCCATCCCATTTGTGGAATTTCTGTTAGAGCAGCACTAGAGAACTGAAATGGGGGATCTCACTGACATCAAGAAAGAAGAGCCAGGAGTGGAGTGCATTCTTGGACCCCAAACCCCTGAACTGAGACAGCAAAGAAATGGCAGCAGCAGAACCAAGAGACCCACGTGAGACAGAGCGCTGGGCTTCCTGGCCCACAGAGCAAGAAAGCTGAGTGCCTTCAGACAGGAGGCTTGCTGGTGGAGTGGGGTGCCTCTTTGGGTAACTATCACCAAAGCTAAACGAATTTTGTAACACTGGCCCAAGCAGGACAAAGGCTGAGGCCAGAGAGAAGCTGTCCTGATTGAAGAACTGTATCCTGACTTGTTTTTTTTATTATTTTTTTTTATTGTGATTTGGGTGAAAGTTTACAGAGCAAATTCATCTTTCATACAGCATTCCACATACACTTCATCTCATGACATTGACTGTAATCTCCCACAGTGCAACAGCGTTCCTCCCACTTCCTCCCCATAGCCGCCTCTTCCCTGTGTCCTTCCAGCCCATGCACTCCTGCCCCCCCAAGCTATCTCCCTGTGCATACACAGCCCTTCTATTCTCCCAAGATTGATCTTTTCAAGGAGTATATCTACCTACTGTAAATGTTCAGCTCATATGCCTGTCTTTTGTTTGGCTGGAAGCCACAAGAGTGGGTTCAATTGCAGACCTGAAGGGCAGCTAGGGCCCGTAGTTTTAGGGGTTCACCAGGCTCTATCAGACCAGCAAACATGGTCCCTTTTCTGTGTATATGTGTGTGTGTGGTTTTGAGTTTTGTTCCACATTGTTCTCCCACTCTATCCTGGATCTCCTACAAAGATCCCCCTCCGAGTGGTTGACAGTGCTGGGCACCATCTAGGTTTTTGGCCTCATAGTCGTATAGGCTGAGGATTGCATGGTGTACTAGTCTCTTGGACTAATTGTTTCCGTGCGTCTTTGGTTTTCTTCATTCTTCTTTGCTCTGGACAAGGAGAGACCCATCGTTGCACCTAGCTGGCCGCTTGCAAGCTTTTAAGATCCCAGTGGCTACTCGCCAAAGTAGGAGGTGGAACAATGTTTTTCTGTAGTGTGTTATGCCAATTGAGCTTGATGTCCCCTGTGACCATAGTCCTGACTTTTTTGATTCTGAATTGTAACCTGTTACTTCTTTAATCTACTACCATAGTGATACCACCTTGGAAACCCAAGGAGGGGTTGCTATGAATTGGGTGCGACTCCACAGCACATAACAACAACAACTTCTTTAATAAACCCCATAATTCTGAGCATTGTCTGTGAGTTCTGTTAGGCCATTGCAATGAATTATTGAACCCAGTAGAGAAGTAAAAAGTCTGTGGGAGGGATGGTTGGTGTCAGAATTGGCAAGGGTTAAAGGGTGGCAGCATGTCTGACCTCTGCCTCATAGGAATTAGCCTTGGGCTGCTGATGGGGCTTTTCTCCCCTTTGTGAGGTTAAAGGAGGTCGTATGTTGCCACAACGGCCTCTGTGCGCCATCAATAACAATCTGCCGGGCATCCACCCTGGCAGGCCTAGGGGACCCCGTGGCAGAGGACCTCATCGTGACAGCAGGACTGACGTTACTACCACACACGTGACATGTCACACTGTGATGACCACCATGTGGTGGGCAGGGGCCTGGCCTGGTCTAGAGCCTGCAGAAGGCTGCCCCAGGGATGGCACAGTGCTGGGTCCGGTCATGGTGCCATGGGCACAGGAAGGCATCCCTTATGGGTGTGAGGAACTCGGGAGGGAGAAGGGGAGGAGAGAGGCACAGGGTTCATCACTTCATCCAGGTGGGGGACAACACTACTGTGGGGGTGTCATGAGTACCATGAGAGGTGAGCATGACTGCAGTTGAAAGTGCTTGATGGGAGCTGGGCAGAATGGCTGTGAATGTCTGCCTGCTCTGTGTCAGTTGCTGCACAAGGTCTCACCCGCCAGGGCTCGGACCTATCAGGCACTGGGTATCCACTCACTTATGGATTCACACTGTGCCAGGTGCTGTTGGCACGGCCCCCACCCTTAGGTAGTGCCCACGCAGGAGAGGCTGGGAAGAAATGGGCACTTGTGATGCCGAGCAGTGAGTGAGCTTTCAATGTGCTGGGGGCTTGCACAGAGGAGGCAGGAAGATTCCTGGAGGAGAGAAGAGCTGCCTGCCTGGCCTCGCTTCCCTGAGACCCAGGTTCTGCAGATACATTCTTTGAGTGGGTCAAAGAATGTGACCTGGTCCCCCAGTTTCTCTAGACCCTCATGCAGGCGGGTCCACAGGTAGGTGCTCAATAGATGTTTGTCGAGTGAGAGTGACTGAGTGACCTGTAGAGGTGCAGGGTCCTCTGAGGGTGGGTGCTGGAGTGGGTCTCAGGAGCCCTGACCTACAAAGGGTCAGTTTGTGGAAAAACAGCTGCTCGTGACTGCCTCCTGAGACCTTGGTGGGAAGCCGCATCTGCTCCAAGGCCTGGCACTGCAGCGGTGCATTCAGTGGGCCCTGGCACTCTGCTGGGCGTTGGCCTGTGCAGGGGCTCCCCATGGTGCAGATGAGGAAGCAGAGGCTCAGAGATGTCCCCAAGGTCCCTCGTGATCTGAGGCAGTGCTGTCCCTTGGCTAAACCTACCCATGCACCCCCCATCCCCTGAAGAAGATGCTGGAGGTGGGGGGCAGGGTGTGCCTCTCAGTGCCAGAAGCTGGAGCTGGAGTGAGTCCGCAGGACTGACAGCTCTTCGTGGAGAGCATGGTGCTCCCACTACAGCAGACAACACTGCAGGAACGGGCTGCGTGTGCCTTTCCTTTGGTCCCCCACTCCACTTCTATGGGGGTTGGGGATGCAGCAGCTAACACCTGTGTGTGTCTCTGCCTGTGTGTGTGTGTGTGTGTGAGTTTTCTGTGCTGTGTAACAAATCAGCACACACTTAGCAGCTTGCAACGACATCCAGGCATGAGTTCACTGCAGGTCAGAACCCCCACAAGGCTGAGCTCCTGGCATCACTCACAGATGCATTATCATCCCAAGGCTCCAGGCAAGAATCTGCTTCCAAGTTTATTCTTGTCAATGGCAGAATCCAGTTCCCTTTGTAGGACCGGGTCCCATTGTCTTGCTGAGTGTAGACTCCTGTCCCCCGCCCCCATCTCAATAGCAGAGGTCTTTCTCCTCCCTGTCTGACTTCTTACAACAGCCAGCAAGAGTGACCCCATCTTGAGGACTACTGTGCCACATAACATAGCTTCACCATCCATTGACCGACAGCCCCAGGGCTGCACAGGTGTGTACACCAGGTGTGTGGGGCTGGGGAGCTACCTTAGAGTCAGTGACCCAGTGCCACCCTGATAGGCCCTGCTGGGCCCACTCCAAAGTGGTCTTCAGTCCCTCCCAGCCCTGTCCCTTCCTGAGCCTGCCTCACCTGCTCCAAGTCCCCTGAGGGTCCCAGAGTGGCCCTCTTGGCCTGTTTGTTATTGTGGTGCGCCACCTCCCTTCTGTCTTGGTGACTGCATCTCTCAACCAGGACAACGGCCTTTTTGTCAGGTTTCCTATCTGTGAGGACATGGCAGGAAAGGGCCAAGGCCTCTGGCCAGCACTTCCCAAGTCCAAAGTATCTCTGTAGTGGAGAAGGAGGGGCCAGATGGGCTACCCCCACCACCAGAAGCACATGCTCAGCCCCAGCCCATCACTCATGGAAGCTGGGCACTGGCACGGCGTGTTGTCTTGCACCCCAGAAATGGGGGCCTGGGAGGTGACACCGTGAGGAAGCAGTAGGGCTGGGGTTTGAACCCATCTCTGTCTCACTCCAAAGCCCTTGCTTGACCTGGAGCTCCTACGGCCTTCAGGCCCATCTTCTCTGCCACCGCAGCAGCGGGTCATCCTTCCCGGCCTTGAGGAGACTCCACTCCCAGAGCCTTCCAGGCAAGGCTCCAGCAGCAGCCCCTCGGGTTGACGCTTGGCTCTCAGCCCACCACCTCCAGCATCTCGCAGACCCCCAGCTGGGGGTGGGTGCTGGTGAGAAGGGGGCCTGCCCCTGGGCGCTCGCCGGGCCCCTGGGCGCTCGCCGGGCCCCTGGGCGCTGGCCTCCCTCCGCCTGCCCCCTCCCTGCCGTCCCTCCTCCTCCGCCCCTCCCCCGCGTCCCTCTGACGGGCCGCAGCCCCTGGCGCGTCGCGGCGCCGCCTCCTCTCGCCCCCGCCCTCCGCCCCGCCGGCACTGCAGCTTCAGTCCCTGCAGCCGCAGCCGCGCGCTCCGGCCTCCGCACCGCCGCCGCCCGCAGCACCATGGCCAGCACCGTGTCCGGTAGGCGCCCGGGGAGGGTGTGCGGCTGCCGGCTCAGCCCCGCGCGACGCTGGCGGCCGGCCGGGTTGCGGGTCCCGGATTTCGCGCACAGCAGCGAAGAGGAGCCCAGGGCCAGGGCGGCGGGTCGGGGCGCCCCGGGGGGTTGGCGGCGCTGCGCGGGTGAGGACCACCCGCCCGGGAACGCCGCGGAAAGGGGGGCCTCCGAGGACGTGAGTGGAGCGTTCTCGGGGTGCGGCCGGGGAACCCGGAGCGCCAGGAACCGCAGACCCCAGGGGCTTGCGCCTTTGGGGGACCGCTGCGGCCCTACGCTAGAGGGGAGGGCGCGGGCTGCGGGCAGGGACGAGGAGCCATCCCCAAGCAGGCCGCGCCCGCACCTGGCGTCGCCGCTCCTCGCCGCGGGCCCCGGGGACCACCCTCTGCGACAGCGGGGCGAAAGCCACCGCCCTCTGCGCCTCAGGGCTTTGGATGGGGGAAGGGTTCCTCCTTTCCCAGCCCCCCAGACTGCGGTCGCCTCGCTCGCGCCCCACCCATCATGCAGTCCCTGCCCCACCCCCGCCACTGCGGACCCTCGCTACGAGGGCAGCGGGCCCCTCCTCCTGCCCTGGTTCCCACCCCACGGGATTAGGGTGGAGGGCACCAGGAAGACGCCGGGCCACCTGGACGCAAGGACTCAGACCATGCTGTCTTGTCCAGACACCCCAGAGCAGGGCCCATGGAGCTAACTTCTTTCTGCAGGAGCTCGGCCAGCTCGCGTGGCCCCGCCCGGCCTGTCAGGCCCTGACACCTGTCCAGAGGGGTCTGCTGATCTGTCAGCGGCCACATACCACGCCCTTCAAGTGGCTTGTTCTTTGGGGTTTCATCTGTCCCAACCCTCTCAATGACCGCCCCCCCCCGGGGGATGTTAGGACAGGCTTTTACACTGTGACGTTGGGGCAGAATGAGAGCAGGGGGCTGCGGCCCAGAGGCTCTGTCCTTTTAGTCTGTATTACATTACGTCCAGGCAAAGGCCAGTGGACAGGGATGGGTGGGAACTTTCTTCTTATGAGTCCCCTTCAGGGGTTCTCCCTCAGTAGCATCGTCCCTGCCCTGGCACACGCAACAAAGATTTGAAGGTGAGGGACCTGGCTACGCCCACCTTCTGTGGCCTTCAGAGCATGGGTGGACTTTCAACTTCCTGTCACTGACACCCACTGACACCCACGCTGTCCCAGGATGTGTATGGGTATCCTAGCATCCACACGCTGCGGTACTCACAGTTCTTCCTTTAACTTAAAAGTGGATGCTGAACAAAACCCAAGCCAGTAGTCACCGTTGGGAACAAAGGGGCAGCTGTAGGTGTAACAGCCGATTGCAGCATGGCCTCCACCACTCAGATGTGCCACGGTGCCATTCCTGGGGCTGTCCTGCGTCCTGACCTCCCCTGAGCCTCTCCTACCCAGAGACGTTTCAGATGGTGGCAGCGACATGAGAGTTGCCATTGCCAGTCAGCTGAAGTGACCCTGGGATTGTTAATGATGAGGTGTCTGGTCAGAACAGGCCCCCATTCTGCTCTGGGGGGTGTGTGTCATGACCGTTGTCTTCTGTAATTTCACATCACTGTGGAATCACCTCAGGATCCCCTTCCTGCGTGTCCCCAAAGGTCTTCCTGCACTGCCCTGGCAGCTACCCTCCCTTGAGCATCATTCCCCTCACCTGCTTGGGAGGACCGGGCTCTTATGAGTCCCTCCTGGGTGGCCTCTTGCCCTGGTTCTGCTCCTGACCAATTCTGAGTCTGCCTCTGTCCAGTTGTGTGGCCTTATCCCTCTTAGCCCTCAGGGCCTCCAGTTCTCCATCTGGGTGGGCCCATAGTAGCAGTACCCCCTAGGAGTTGCTCTTGGGGTTACAGGAGCTCTTTTGGTGACGTGCCTGGCCCCAGTGCCCAGCAGAGTGACACCTGGGACGTGCCAGGGGGTGCAGTTGTCCTGCCGCTCGGTGTGTGCCTGGATTGTCCTTCAGCCACATTTCCAGAGTCTCCTGCCCAGAGGAAGGCTAGCCCCACCACGCCGAGTTCCTGCCACTGTCAGAGAGCACTCTGACTAGTGAGGGAGGGGCCGCCTGGGGGGTGGTCAGCAGCAGCTTCCAGACCCTTCCAGGGGTGAGTGGGCATCTCTGGTGCCCCTACCCTCCCAGATCTGGCAGACCCTCCATGCTTCAGCTCCGGCCTGGCATGCTTAGTGACTCCAGGTGGGCCCTTTGCCTTCTCTTAGCCGCATTCTCCTCCTGTGGAAACCAGGTGACCAAGGCATCTGCCTTTGCTGGCTGGTCCTGAGGGTCAGTTGGGACAATGGGAGTGATGTGCCCACCTGTGGGAGCTGTTACCACTACTGGGACCATGACTCTGTAGGCTGGCTAAGGCCTGCCTTTCTAACACCCACATACGTAGAAGCTAATCAGTGTGCAGTTTTGCATGGTCAGGTAGCAGCAGAGCTGTGCTCTCAGCAGACTCCCAGGGTCAGTGAACAGGAGAGAGGAGAGCCTTAGGGCTGTGGCACCTTGAGTGGCCCCTGGGAGGGTCCTTGAGGCTCTGGAGGTTTCCTTGGGAGAAGTGGCCTAGAGGGTCTGGGCTTGGCCTCCTTCTCTCTGCAACAAAGACCAGAGTGACGTTCAAGTCCCTCGCCCCCAGGTCCAAGAATAGAGGTCCCTCTGGCCTCCTGCTTGCTCTTCAGGGCCTGGCCCCCTTTGCCCACTATCTCCCAGGTTTGCCTACTCCCCACCTGCTGGTCCACCTGCCCCTGCTCCCCCACTTGCAGCCAGACCCCAGCACAGAGTGTCATCTCAGGTCCTTCCTGGGGGGCCACTGCTCCTCGGCTTTTTGAGCAGTGGTCTTCCCGGGGTGGGGGGAGGAGGGGAAGCTCCTTGAAGGCCATCAGCCTGAGAGAAACCCAGCAGAATCCTGCCCCTGTTCAAGGGATGCTTGTCCCCTGGGCAGGGCCATGACCTCGAGAGCCCTGACCCCTGTCATTGGACCCCTTACCCCTGCTCACGCAGGTTCTCTACCTGGCCCCCATGCTGAGGTGACAGCTACCAGGATTGGCCCCTCCAACCTCTGTCTGCAAACCAATCTCCCTCCTGATGAGTCTGCACCATCTTCCCCATGAAAAGTTCAGGCTGGAGGCAGGGGGCCTTTGCACTGCTGTCAGGCCCCAGGCTCCTGGACTGGAAGGTGGACCCACTCAGGGCCGTGATGTGTGATTAGGAGAGATGGTGTGAGAGGTCAGACTGGGGGTGGTGTCAGCTGCAGGGGAGGCAGTGCTGCCAGCATTGGGGCAAGAGGGCCCAGTCCCTTCCTTCCTGGCCTCTGCTGGGACCCGGGCCTGTCCTGCTCCAGCTCAGCCTCCTCGTGCTGCCCTCCCCGCCTTCACCTTGGGGGCATGCAGGTGTGGTAGAAACGACCCACAGCCACATGTAACTCCACCCAGCCCCAGCTCCGGCGCCGGCTGTGTTGGGCAGGCTGTCGGTCGGTCTCCCAGCTGGGGAGGCCTGCACCAGACAAAGTGTGTGCTTTGGGGCTCGCCATACATGGAAACGAAATCATTTCAATTTTGAGAGTGGGCGTGTTCCCCTCCCCTGGCAGGGCTCAGGGTTGTGGGGGCCAAGTTGGCCTCCTTTTCCTTTGTAGATGACCATGCCAGCTGGTAGCATGTGATTTGAAAGGGCATGGTGGTGCTGAACGGACAGCTCCCCTCTCTGTAGGTGTCATCTGTGGCAAGTCCAAAGTGCCTGGGGGACAAGGGTCTGGCTTCATCCACGAGGTGGTCACATGGCCGTCAGGGTAATCTGGGGTGGGAGGGACAGGTGGGCTCAGAAGTGCTGTCACAGGGGCTATGATGAACTGCTTCACATCCGTGCCAGACCTGGCCTTGAGAGCCACAGGTCATTCTTGTCTGCCTGTGATGACAGGTGTCTGTGAGTCAGAGGAAGAGGGCAAGTCCATGGAGAGGCAGAGAGACACTCAGACTCAGAGAGATAGACACTGACAAAGAGTCACACAGAGGGAAACAGCAAGAGATAAGGGAGACAGAGACCAAGAGAGAGTTAGAAATACAGACAGAGATGGAAAGTCAGAAACATAGAGGGCCAGAGGCAGAGCCAGAGCAAGACAGAGTCGGAGAAACAGAAATGGAGATAGAGAGACAGAGTCTGAGGTAGAGAGAGAAGCACAAGAAACCGGGAGACACATGGGAAGTGTGGAGGGGTGGGTGGATGAGAGCAAGGTGAGAGGGAGGGAAGTCAGATTCCAACACCCTCCAATAGGAGAACAAGACAAAAATCTCAACAAGAGTCCTCCCAGCGGCGGAATCGGAGAGAGGGGCCCAGCCCAGCTAGGGGGAGGAGGGGCCCTGGGTGCGTGGTGCTGGCCGCGTCCTCAGGCCAGCCTCGTGCCCACAGCCTACAAGGAGAAGATGAAGGAGCTGTCCGTGCTGTCGCTCATCTGCTCCTGCTTCTACTCCCAGCCACACCCCAACACCATCTACCAGTACGGTGGTGAGTGTCCCTGGGCCGGCCAGGGCCTGTCCCTACTTTCCAGGCCTCCTGAAGCCCCCTGGTCTGGCTGCCTGCTGGAGACGGAGGTGGGTAGGGGAGGGCCAGGTCCTGGGACCCAAAGCAGGGAGCCCCATGTGAGCCGGCCTGGCGCAGCTGGGAGCAGCTGTCTGCTTTAACCTGCAGACATGGAGGTGAAACAACTGGACCAGCGGGCCTCTGGCCAGAGTTTTGAGGTCATCCTTAAGTCCCCCTCCGACCTGTCTCCAGAGAGCCCCGTGCTCTCCTCCCCCCCCAAGAAGAAGGACGTCTCCCTGGAGGAGCTGCAGAAGCGGCTGGAGGCAGCTGAGGAGCGGAGGAAGGTGGGGAACCCCGGCCCACTAGGCAGTGTGTGTGGGGGCACAGAGCGTGGACAAGGGCCCTGAGGCACAGGGGCCTGAGCTGGGGAGGGGCTTGTGAATCCTTGGACTTTCCCTCCCGAGGTGGGAATGAGACAGGGAGGGGCACCCCAAGCTGGCAGTCATTGAGGGAGATGAGAGGCAGCTACAGTTATGGGGCCCACCCTTGGCCATGCTGGGAGGAGTCAGATGGTGGCCCCGGGAGAGACTAAAACACACACTTAGGGGTGGGGAGTTGGGGGGCATGGCACTGTATCCAAAGTAGCACTAACTCATTGGCAGGTGAGTGACTTTGTCCGCTCACAGGAAGATCTAGTGAGACCCAGGGACGCAGGCCCTGCAGGGTTAACCAGTAGGGACAGGCACGTGGCTGGAGGTCATGCCTGGGGCTAATTACCCTGTAAGTCTGTGTCCCTACTCTCCTCCTGGGGTTGCAGGGCTGGATAGTGAAGCGGCTGCAGCTGCTGAAGCCCTGAGCTCCCTGACTCCCTCCTCCTCCTGGGGCCACTGCACCGCTGAGCTGGCCTAATTGGGAGCTCAGACTGGTGCAGTGAGCGCCCACTTTGCGCTCAGCAGACATTTGGGAGAGGACACAAAGGCCCAGCCAGGGCCCACAGCTTGAAGGCAGGGAGAGCAGGCCACCTGCGAAACCGGTACCTGCCTAGGGCCAAGGACAAGTAGAAAGGCCAGAGCAGGCCAAGGGGAAGTGGTCACCCCCAATGACGGCACGACAGCCTCCTTGAACGCCTGTGTCCGGTGGGCGCTGGCTGGAGGCCAGGGCAGCAGGACCAGTTGAGCCGTGCATGGACGGTGAGCAAGTGCGGGTTTAGGCAGGGAGTAGCAGAGGGCCAAAGGCGCGCTAGTGGCCCAGTACCTAAGCCATGTGACTGCTAATCAGGTTAGCAGGTCAAACCCACCACCCACTCCATGGAGGGAAGCCGGGGGCAATCTACTTCCGTAAAGATGTATCGCCTCGGAAACCCAGTGGGGGTCGCCGTGAGTCGGAATGGACTCCACGGCAGTGGGTTTAGTTTTTTCGAGAGGAGGGGCAGAGCAGGGAGCGACAGAGCGGGACTCCTCGCCCTCCCCACCTATGGCCAAACCTATGCCAGGCCTGGGTGACGGCGGAAGGCTGCTCCCCGGGCAGCGCCGGGGCCAAGGCACCCAACGAGGCCCCAGGCCGTCGGAGATGCCAAGTGAAGGTGTGGTGAGGACCGTGCCGCAGGCGGGCGCTGGGAACCGAGCAGCGGCGGAAGTGGCGCCCCATGGGTAAGGCCGCTCACGCACTCTCCGGCCTGTGCGCAGTCGCAAGAGGCGCAGGTGCTGAAGCAGCTGGCGGAGCGGCGCGAGCACGAACGCGAGGTGCTGCACAAGGCGCTGGAGGACAACAACAACTTCAGCCGCCTGGCGGAAGCGAAGCTTAACTACAAGATGGAGCTCAGCAAGGAGATTCGCGAGGCGCACTTGGCGGCGCTGCGAGAGCGGCTGCGCGAGAAGGTGCGCAGGGCGGGGCTCAGGGCGGAGATAGGGGCGGGGCCGGGCTCAGGGGTGGAGGTTGGGACGAGGGCGGAGCTCAGGGCAGGGCCGGGGATACAGGAGTGGGCTCGGAGGGGCGTGGCATGGGCGGAGCCCTGGGGTGGGGCGGAGCTGGGTGTGTAGGCGGAGCTAGGTGCGATGAAGACCTTGGGAGCGCAGCACAGGGCAGGCTTGGCAGTGCAGGGACGGAGCTCGGGGCGGGGCAGAGCTTAGGGTGTGGGCAAAGCCAAAGGCGAGGCGGAGCTGGGGGTGGAACTCGGGGGCAAGGCTAGTGTGGAGGCGGGTCAGGGGCGTGGCATGGGCGGAGCTCGGACAGGGCCGGGGCGCAGGTGGCTTTGCCCAGCTTGATCAGGCGGCGCCGGAGGTGCCCGCCCCGGGCGTACCTGGGCCTCGTATCGGTGACCATAACACTAACAAATACTTTAGTTAACCCTTAAGGGCTCGGAAGGAAGCGCATCCCAGTGCGAGGTAAGGGGGGAAGGAGCTCCCTAACGTAGCCGGGGGCCAGGAAGCCCCCAGGAACCCCATCCTTTGACTTTGTCCCTGCCCGCTGCGCCCGCGCGACTCACTGGTCCGCTTCAGGGCCAGCCCAGGAGGAGGCAGGCAGTTTCTACCGTTGAGAGAGAAAGGAGCAGGATCTCAAGCCAGCCTCCCCGCCCAGGACCCAGCCTTGGCTTCCCCCGTCCGTGGCATCCGCTGGTGCTCAGGCCGCGCGGGGACAGGGGTAGGGCCAGGTTACCCCAGGGAGGCCCAGAGCCACCATCCTTCAGGAAGTTTCGGTGGCATTTGTGTAACTCCAGTGGCACCTGAGAGCCACCCCCTCCCTCAGGTGCAACTTCCGCTTCTCCCCTAAGCTGCAGCTGGCCGCCGCTTTGGGGCCATGACCCGGGGCCTCTCCCTGCCTCGCTCCTCAGTCTTGGTCGCTAAGGTGTCTTCCTAGGTCAAGCTCTCGCAGCTGGGACCTGAGTGGCCTGGGGTTGGGAGGGCCCAGGACTCCGGAGCCCACACAGGAGGGCAGGATTGCCCACCGCACTTCCCCCTCCTGGTCTGCAGGAGCTGCACGCCGCCGAGGTGCGCAGGAACAAGGAGCAGCGCGAGGAGATGTCTGGCTAACGGTCTGTCTACACCTGGTACCTGGGTCCTGAGCCAAGAAAAGTACACAGTCGGGTTCTGGTTTGGTTTTGTTCCTTTGTTTAGATGCGACTCCCGTCTCTGCCCCCTCCCCTGTGCCCAGCTCCACGCTTCCCTCCCCGCGGTCTTAGCTGTCCAGTCCTTGTTCACTGACTACAGACTCTCCCTGGAGGAGCCCCAGGGTGGAGGGCTCTGCGGCCTCTTGGCAGATATGGATTTGACCTTAATAAATCCAAGCAGCGGTGGCATGGATATGTGGGGTCCTTATGCTAGGTGTTTTAGGTCAGTGTCGTTCATGGGGGGCATCCTCTGAGCCAGCTCAGGGAACAGGGAAGTGTCTTCCTGTGGGGCAAGGGGACAGTACACTGGGGGGGAGGGGGTTACTTGCTCCAGGGGGCTGCAGTCATGGATCAGGGACTGGAGTGGGAAGGCATGGGGTGTCCTAGCAGTGTGTGCATTCCCCACAGGAACTCAGTGCAGGCCACCTGGGCCGAGAGGGTTATGGGGAGCATTGATACTCCCTGGGCCCCACTCACTCAGAAATGCTCCCTTCTCTGAAGAGCCTTGGCCCAAGGAAGCCTTGACTCCCCCAGGGCTCCCAGCACCCTCGTGAGGCCCACTGTCCTTCAGGTGCTCTGCCCCTCCCCCCATCCTGGGCAGGTGTGGGTGGCAGCCGAAGTCCTCCTCAGGGAGCCAGAGGAAACAGCATTGGACAGGATCCCTGGGACCAGATGCCTGCAGATTCAGGCATTGGGAGGGAAAGGGACAGACTCCCCAAGCAGCCTCCTGTTCTCACCTTTCCCTGGTGGGCAGGGCCTGGAGAGCAGAGACCTGGCTCCAGGCCTCTTCTGCCAAGAACGCCCAGGACTGTGTCCGTCCCCTCCCTCAGCTCCCCCAGTGCTGGCCTTTTGAGTACTGCCACCTGCCTGCACACAGGGTGTGAAGAGGTCCTCGTCTTAGTGTCACTGTATCACCCTCCCCTTCCACACGGAGGGCCATGGTACAGTGTAAAGTGAGGCGGCCAAGCCAGTATCCCTGCTAGCCTTAGCCCCAGGGCCCTGGCCTCCATCTGCCAGGAGACCTGTGAAGGAGGGCACCGGTCTTCCAGGACCAGCCAGGGGCAGGGTGGATCCTGACACCCTGCGGTGGGACCGCTGCCCATCCAACAGCTGCCAAAGGGAATGACAGCCAGTAGAGCCCAGTGGTGCCCAACACCTGGCTTTGTGAGATGCAGGAGGGAGGTGGAAAGAGAGCAAGGCAGAAGGTCTTCCCATGGAGGTGTCCTATGCAGTCAGCTCATTCCCGCAGGGAAAGTGAACTTCAAAAACAAAACGCAACAGCTGACTGAAGAACAAACAACTGTTTCAGAAGTGGGTGAAACCGCCCAACCGTCCGTGTCCTGCCTCCACAGCCCAGTCGAGGCCATAGAGTCGCTGCTGTTCTCTGTGGCATGTGTGTGGTGTGCTACTTTAAACCAGAGCCTGTCAGATCTAATCTTTGTTACTGTGATGTTACATTGTGCAAAGGGTGCTGGAGGGTTTCAGAAATGGCTGTGTGTGAAAATGACACCACAAACCCACTTTCCTCTCAGGAGCCCAAGGATTTAGGGTACAAGAGAGGAGGTAGGGGCCACGGCTGCTGACCGGGCACCCTTGCTCTCCCCAGGGAAGAGCCGTTTGCTGTGGTCAGTTGCCACAAAGGACAGGTTGGGCCTTCCTACCTGAGAGGGTAGAGATTTGCCTTCCACACCAGTCTCAGGCCGGAGCTCTGGGCTCACTCTGTGGGATGATGGCACAGGGACTGTGTCACCCCTCGGGCAGCTGATGCTCAAGGCTGCAGGTGTGACCCCAGGATGGGGGCTGGGCACGTAAAAGTTCTCAGACCTCCCCCACATTGCTGAGTATGCCTGTTCCATGGGCCCCAGCCACAAGGAAGGGCCCACTGGGGGTGGGCTCACACATGGGCTGCCTGCCAGGCCCAGGGAAGGTGGCTGCTCATGGCGAAAGGAGAGCCAGCTCGGCCGTGTGCCACGAGCACTTGCCCCATCCAGCGAGTACAGGACACACACAGCAGGTGCTGAGGTGGAGACCCCAAAAATCTGCAGGGCTGCAAAGTGTAGCAGGGGACAGGAAACATATGCAAAAGTCTCCTCAGGTGCGAGGTGTGCCTACCTTCAAGGGCCTGAGTTTGGGGAACACAGACATGCACCCTGGCATCCCCAGAAGCCCACGCTGACCACAGAGACCAAGGCTCCCTAATCCTTAGGAGGGCTTGGGTGAGCATTCAGTGACAGTCACCACTGGGAGCCTGTGACATGGCATAGGAGTGGGGCACCTTTCACAGACCGATCCTTTTTCCTTAAAGAGAGGCAAAGGTGAGAGCCCTCCTGGGAAGCCCTCAGAAGCTTTAGTCCTGGACTGCAGTGTGACAAACTGGCCCAAAATGTACGGCTCAGGGTCTCAGGTTCCATTCAGCATGTTGTCTGAGACTGAGGTCAGAGGGCTGGAGGTGGCACTTCCAAAGTGCTCTCACATGGCGGCTATTGGCAGGCCTCAGCACTGCAGACGTGGACCCTCATGGGCTGCTTGAGTGTCCTCTCAACGTGGTGACCCCACGTGCCCCCCAGTGAAAATCCATCAAAGGGCAGGGAGGAAGCTGCAATGAATTAATCTTGTCAACCACACCATCACTTCTGTCACATTCTACCTGTAGAAGAGTGTGACCAAGAGCCTACACTTGGGGGGAGGGTCCGGTTTGCCCCTTGGAAGGCAGAGGTGTAAAGAAACCGGGGCCGTATCTTAAAACTACGTCAGCTCTGTCCACATCACTGTGTGTGGTGGACATGGCTGGTGCTCACTCGGTGCCTGGGCTCCTCCAAGCAGGGTGTCTCGTTAAGCTGGTGACGATGACAGCATGGGCAGGTGCTGTCCCTAACGGGGCCTCCCCTGGCCCTGTTACGCTCGTCCGCGGCAAGAAAGGCCCGGCCGAGTCAAAGGCCCTGCCTGCAGGGAGAGGGCCCCAGCTCCACCAGACTCCCCGTCCTCAGCTAGACTTGACACTAGACTTGGATCTCAGTCAACGGAAACTCCATTGAGTAGACTGGAAAGTGATGTTCACGATCCAAAAGTCAACCCTCACACGAGGTTCCTGTGCTTGGTGAGAAGCCCCAAGGTCTACCGTGATGCCCCCACACTACAGCGTTTCCTACCTGCTGTTCAGACCTCAGCCTCCCCATGCCGAGCCGAGATGTTAACCTGCACCTACCAAGCCTCTGGCTCCAGGGTCAGCCGCATGCTGGGGAGGGGACGGCGCTGTGCCCACGTGGCCGTGCCATAACATTGCCAGGCACAGAGGCCAAGCTCTTTCCCCACATGAACCCTGAAAGGCGAGACAGACAGAGACAGCTAGGGGTGGGGTGGGAGCGTGTCACTCTGATTTAATCAGCAAAGATCTGCTGAGACGCATGATGCTGGGGAGGGAGAAGCGCCGCTAGGACACGGTGGGAGGGAAGGGGGCAGGCCGCATTCCATGGGGTATGCAGGAAGGCGCCAGAGGGCCGCAGTCAAGGCGGAGGCGCACCGGGGCCTCGCGAGGCCACAGCACCAGCGCGGGGGACACTCAATGCGCCCTGCGCGCACCCACAGCAGGGGGCGCTCAGGGCCCTCCTCTGAGCCGCGGTTGGGAAAGCGCAGGCGCGAAGGTCGTCGGTTGCACCCGTCCGGCTGTCCTCCACGCAGCCCTTCCCGTCCACAGCCTTACTCCTCGTGTGCCACCCGCATCGAACTGTCACCAACACTAGCTCCTGCGCCTTTCCCTCCACGAGCTGCTGTCTTCCCGGAACAGGAACCTGCTCTGAAGCAGCAACTGTCCCACACCGCAGGGTCCGTGATGCACGACCGTGTGCACAAACCTTTCCTGCATTTCTTAGTTTACCTTGAAATGGAGACTTCCCAGTGGAGCCCACACTCCATGGTCCGGAGCCGCGGGGCTGACAGTGCTGGGGGAAGCGCGGTGCGTCTGCTCGTTTCGGGAGCCCTGTGCTCCTTGGCATTCCCCCCGCCACTCGCCCACCCTTGCGTTCGTCCTCGGCGTCCTCCCGAGGTCCGGTGCTCGCCCCGGCCGGGATGGGAGCGGGTTCGGGCGGCGTCTGCTCGCGAATCTCATCACCTTCCTGGCAAACGACTCTCGGGCTCGTCAGGCCGTGAGCGGACAAAGGCCAAGCACGCCGGTGGCTGCACAAAGCAGCGCTGGAGGCGACCAGCCATCCTTCACAGAAATGGACGAGGTCCAGAGAACTTGAGAGCCGCCCCAGGCTGCCCTGCGCGGAAAGACGGGTAGCGCCGCGACCAGACGCAACCGCGTCTGCGCCTCATTGCAGAGAAGCCGCCCTTTCCGCGTATGCGCGCCGCCGCCGGGCCTTATTTTACAGTACCGCCCACCTCTCCGCCGAGCGCCAAATAAGTCACAAGGTTCGCCCCAACCGTGCGTGCTCGTCCCCGCCGCCTGCGTCACTAGGAAGCGCGCGCCCGGGCTGCCGCCGCCGCC